GGTGGGTCACACCTACGGCCGAGGACACATACAGCTGTTGCTGTTGGGGACAAAGAGGACAGGGTGAGGTGCTATCTCATCCCCACCCCACAAAGACCCCCACATGCTTCCTGCTCTGGTGCTGTGGTGACACCTGCAGTGCTGTGGCTGTACCCATGATGGGATTTGCCCTGCCATGTGCCATGACTTACCCTCTTAGAAGAGATGGTCATAGTCTTGATGGGTGCTGGCACCTGGACAGGAGTAGGAGTGAAGATGGAGGGGGTCACTGCTTGGACTGACACTGCAGCTCTGGAGTGGGCACCCCAGATCACCTGCAGGCAGCTGAAGCAGGCAGGGGCGAGCAGGGGGTGATGCAAGGGGGCAGTAGGCAGGAGAAACAATGCTTGGGGTCCCTCCAGAGCTGGCCAAGGGGTGGTTGATGTCCCAAGGGGCTGGTTGGCTGGGTCAAGAACACAGCAGAGGGTGGAGGACAGGCTACTCCTTACCTTGAACACCTCTATCTCTTCTAGCATGAGCTCCTCTGTCTCCATGTCATCCCGGGGGAGCACGATGACCTTCTGCACAGTGCCCCTGTCTGCAAGACACCATGGTGCCCAGGCACTCAGTGCCATCCCTGGGCACCCGTGCCCTCCCTGCCTGGGAAGGAGATCCCTGCTGGGGTTGGGGGTAGAAAGGACCCCCCAAGCCCATCCCCATGTCTCTTCTACTGCAGGAGGTGGTTGTGCCTGGGGTGCAGTGTACCAGCTCAAGACAGTTGTGGCTAGGGACAGTCACCCACCCAGGGGAGCATGGAGACAGCAGCCAGGGACAAGCACTGGGGTAAGGGAAGGACCAGGATGGATCGTAGGGGCTTTGGGATGAACATTAAGAGCAGGGGAAGCACTGGGCTGAATGATGGCACTCCCAGGTTGGGCGCTGGGGTCTGGGAAGGACAGACGGAGTTGGGTGCCAGTGCCTCTAGGATGGACTATTGGGCATGGGATGCACAAGGCTGGATGACGGGGGGCTTAGCATAAGCAACGGCAAGCACGTAGGATAGGTGCTGGGGTCAGGAAAAGATGAGACTGGATGATAAGGCCCCTGGGATGGGCACCACGACAGGTGGGGGATCAGGCTGTGTGGTAGCATCCCTAGGATGGGAGGTATCATGCTGGATCGCTGGCCTCAGGGATGGTAATTGGACCAAGGGAAGGATCAGGCTGGACAGTGGAGTCTGTAGGATGTGCACTGGGGTGGGGAAGAACCAGGCTGGAGCCTTGAGAACGAGCAGGGATCTCAGTGGGGGCAGTCTCAGCCCCTCACCCTGCTCTAGCATGGCGGAGGGCACTGTGCTCTGGCCAGCCCTGGTGGTGCCCATGCCCTCCGGGGCCGCGCCGGAGCATGCTGCGTTCCCCGCGGTGTGCGGCGTGGGTACCTGTGCCCAGGAAAAGCACCTCATAGCGCCCGTCTGCCGCGTCCACCTGGTCCACGGCCACGGTGGTGAAGCGGTAGTTGACGTTGGTGCGGACCACCAGCGGCTGGCGGTGCGTGGGGTACACGGAGTGGTACATCAGTGGGTGTGAGCGCATGAAGTTGATCACTTCATCAGGGTAGTCCTTGGTCGACTTCATGGATGGGGTGAAGGTCCCTCCAGGGCACTGCGACACAAACGTCATCAATGCAGGTATCCAGGCATGGGTCTGAGGGTGTCAACTGCTGGCAGGAGCCAGCTCACCTCCCCATAGGTGCCATGGGGATACTCACGGTGCCTGGACGGGGATAGGGCATTTTGCCTGTGTATGGCATCCACTGGTAGTTGGGTCCCTCCTTGTGCGCGAAGGGCCCATTGAAGACCATGCGGATGTCGGCCATGGAGTAGACACACACAGCAGAGCCCTTGAAGACTGACCTGGGAGGAAGGACCTGCTGTCACCCTTTGGCTTGGTGCTATCCACATCGCCAGAACACCCATCCAGCTGGGACACCCCTTCTCTGCTACATCATGCCATGAGGGTCAGCACTCACCCCGAAGCAGAGAACACAGCGTAGATAACAGGGTTCTTGGTGTCCTGAGTCTGCTGGATGAAGACGTCCTCTTGGGACAGAAAGATGGAAGTGTCACCACTGGGAAGGTGGGCAGGGACACCAGGGCACGGGGAGAGCAACTACCCATAGGAGACTAAAAGGTGGGGAGCAGCAAGGGAGTCCCCAGTGGTCTCCAGCGTGCCCCCCCAACCTGAAGGGGTGCAGAAAGCTCCCATCCCCCTCCTTGCCCACTCACGAAGCTCGTCGAAGTGCGTTTCGATTCCGTCAGGTCCCGGCACAGAGCAGACGAGCCGGGCCTTTAGGAAGGTGCTCCACTTGTTCACGAGGCAGCAGTGGCCCCCGTCGTCATTCTGCAAAGGACAGACCCCTGTGCTCAGCTGTGCTCATCCCTCTGCCCACTTCCCCACCTGCTCCCCCACCTGCCCACTGCTCCACCAACCAGGCAGATGCGCCCAATGCGGGAATAGACGCCAGGGCTCAGCGGGGCATCAGCTGACTTCTCCCGGAAGAAGAAGTAGAGCTTGTCGTCATTCCTCTCGCTGCTGTCAGGGATGAGCTGGGCACGGACAAAGGCTGGGTCTGGAATGGCATGGCAAAGCATGGCACCTCAATCCAGTGGCACTCCTGCCCCATGCCACAGCAGGATGCTGAGTCCCCCTCTCCTCCAGCATTGTCCTGCTCCTGGAAAAGCACTACCACGGTCACAGGGTGAGAGCTGGATCTGAGGAACTGGGTCTTTCTGGTGATCATTGGTGCATCAGAAGGGGCTCGGAGCATCCCTAAGGTCCACATGTTGAAGATACATCAGCTCTATGAGCAGGACGCTGGGAACCAGTCTTCCCCCCCAGGAAGGAACCACACAGCATGGAAGCTTCTCAGGAAGCTTCTCCCTGCCATCCATCAGCCAGTGCCCAGCCTGCGCTGACAGCTCCCCCTCTTCAGGTTACTGCCCCGCCGGCTCCCTGGCCCGCCAGGATCATCCCATCTGCTCTGCTCTGTTTACTCAGCTGCTGCCCCATGAGTAGGGGTGCTCCAAGGGGGGCAGGATGAACGTTCGGGGTCACCGACTGCAGGCGACATGGTTGACATCTCAGCCCTGCAGAAACCCATGCACAGACTCTGGTAGAGCCAGCCCCATCTCTCACCAGCTGGCTGCTCCCACAGCCCAGCAAAGCTCCAGGCATGTCCGTCACTGCCCCATACAGTTATCCCTCTGCTCTTCTGACTGGATTTCAATCCATCCATCCATCCATCTGTCAACCATCCATTCATCCATCACACATCCATCCATCATCATCCATCCATCCATCATCCACCCATACATCTTGTCTGTCCATCCATCCACCTGCCCATCAATCGTCAAATTTAAACCATCCACCCACCCATCCACCTGCCCATGCTGGCTGTTGTCTCTGTCCTAGGAGAAGGATGCACCATGACATGGCAGGTTTCATCTCTAGGGCTGGAGCCATTGGTACCCCAGGGCACCTGGGCCAGTGACAGCTGAACTCACCATTGAGCCAACGGGAATTGTACTGGTCTGTCCTCATGGCTGTCTGCTTGCCCATGGTGCGGAAGATGGCTGCATCTGTGCCCATGAAGTCGATGTAGACGCCAGCATAGAGCTCTTCATCTGCAAAGGGCAGAGATCAGCCAGGAACACCCACCTGGTCCCATTCACCCATGTTCTCCAACTGCCCCAGGCTTCATCCAGACCCAGACCCAGACCCAGCTGGTAGTCACCAGACAACTAAGAGCAGTGGCCTGTAGCCATCTCAGAGAGCTCTGGAGGTTGGCACTGGTCTGTAACCAGGACCACCACCTCTGCTGGGCCAGGTGCCCAAGGACTGGGCATCCCAGGTGCCTGGCCATTGCAGCTGGGGCAGGCAGAGGTGGCAGGGCAAGAACCCTGCTCCTGGTAGGAGCAGCAGTTCCATCTCACTTGCATGTTCATTCTGCACAGTGCAGGCAGCACTTGCCCCGAGGAGCCACAGGACTCACTTATTAACGCAGAGACGGTGTCTACTTTGGGGTCATAGGAACACTTCCCCTTGCCTGACTCCAGCTTGTCTGGCTCCAGATAAAAGATATAATCCTGGAGAAGGAAGCAAATAGAGGAGCTGATTAGACTTTCACCTCTCCATCCCCATGGCACCTTCCAAAGCCCACCAGGAAAGGCAGCCTCCTCCAGGATGGTGCCCAGCAGCGAGAATGGATGCGGATGGAATACACAAGGGGTCTGGCAAGTCCCCTGAGAACCTGAAGCCCCTGTGAGTAACTCCTCCAACAATGCTGGCTGCTTCTCCATGCCCTCCACCACTTGGAAACTTGGCTGAGCCACTAGGCTGAAACAGGGCATCCAACATCCAGGTCCGGTAAAACATCCCCTTCTGGATGCCTCTTCAATCCACATGGCTGTGCTGCACATCTCCATTTGGCCAGCTCCAGGCCATGCAGCTCCAGCAGTTTCAGCAGGCAGGGTTTGTCCTGTGGCACAGTTTGGCACAGCTCAGCTGCTGGACCCACCATGCTCCTCTCACCAGGGCCTGTTTTCCAGCAGTTTTCTTCATAGGGTGAGATGATGTGTCTTCTTTGTGGGATGTCTCCCCACTGTCACCTCTGGCACCTTCACACCTGTCCCCAACCAGGGGTGAGACCCATGCTGCCTCCAGAGATGTGTGCAAAATCCTCTGCTGGTGCTGACTGGGGGCAAGCAGGGCCAGGCCAGCCCAGCTAGGTCACTCCTCATCCTGGTGTAGGGATGTCCCCCAAACTGAGATGATGCAGAAGCACAAGAGCATCCATGGGGAGCCCGGACATGGCAGGAACCTTGAGCAACCAGATCGAGCCTCATGCCCTGGCTTTGGCGCAGAGGTGATGGACATTGTAACAGCCACCCTCCTTCAAGAGGCCAACAGGGTCCTGGCAGAGCCCTGGCTCTGGGAAGGGCAGGAGCAGGTGGGGAGCCAGGATGCTCACCGTGTGCATCTCCCACTGGAAGGTTTGCTCATGCCAGCTCCTCCTGGGGCACCATCCTCATTACCGCACCATGCAGCCTGCACCACTGTCACCATCACAAATGCCTCTGTCCAGCACCAGCCCTGCTCCCAAGCTGGGTAAACCCCTTGTGGGGACAACCTGTCTTTCTGTCTCCAGTACAGCTCTGGTCCTGGCTGCACCATCTCACCCTCCTGGTCAGGCAACCCATGAGCCACTGCAGTGCTGGCAGTGTTGTTTGGCTAACACTCCTTGAAATGCACCGGAGCTGCCAGGAAGCAGGTCCTAGCAGCCCACAGGGACCTCCTGCCTGGGCACAGGTAGCAGCACTGGGATTTTCTTTCTCCCTGTAGATGCCAGGACCAGATCCAGCAGGGAGGGTATCAGGGTAACTCACAGAGGCTAAAATGGCAATAGTGTTTCCCTAGCTAGCATGGGGAAATGGGTAGCAGGAGCTGTTTGCAGTCAGCAAGATGCTCATCCTCTGCCCTGCTACCACCTGAGGGGTGCGGGGAGCCCCAGGCTGCTGCAGGGTGCCCACGACCCACGTGCTCCCCAGCCCATGCACTGACCCATGTTAGTTGGGAGGGGAAAGTCTCGGGGATGACACTGTCAGGGTGGTCTGGACACTGGGTTGTCCCCAGAAGCTGGGGATGCCAACACCCCCCTGAGCCCACCTGCCTGCCAGGATGACACAAGCCCCTCTCAGAGCAAGGTGAAACAGCTGCAGTGATGTTTTTTAGACCCTACCCAAACACCTCCTGCACATCATCTTGGCATCCTCTCCTGAACCATCTGAGCCCCATGGCTCTGCCGACAACTGATCTCACTTCCAAGGATCACAACAAGCCCAGTGTTGGGCAAAGCTGGTGGTGGGTGGAGAGCCACCGTCCCTGACAGTGTCCCCCACGGTGGGGATCCTTACTCAGACTGGGAGGAAGGAGTTAGTGAGAGAAGGAGAGCCAACGCCAGGCCGGTGGCCGGGAGATGCTGTGCTAAGAGGGAAGGGGATGGCAGGGATGCCCACGGCACAGGGCGCCTGGCCCAGGGGTCAGAAGCATGCCAGTGGGACGAAGAAGCCTGCAGCTCTGGCATGCCTCTGGGGAGAGGTGGGCACGGCTGCGGCAGGCTCCCAGACCGGTTCCCACCTTGCTTTGTGCTGGTCTCGGGCTGAGGGGGCTGTCGGTGGATCTGCTTTCCC